TATCCATAAGTGGACTAGAGAGGTAAATGGCAGGGAGGGAACTATTGAAGCTATAAATCAGTGATGAAAAAGAACAAAGGAATATAGGTTTGTTACCTATAAATATTGGCTGAAAATCGGAAAGCTTCTGAAATTGTCTTTCAGGTGGGAGCCAAAAGTTTGGCTTGTGTTTAAGATGGACCATGGGATGCTTAGAAGAGGCTATGATGATTTCTTGGGATCAGAGGTGGCAGTAATTGATGACCTTAGATTTCTTTTCTAACCACATGCTCAAGTGTTACCTAGAAGGTGACTTTTTACAAGGTGACTTTTTTTTTTTTCCTAATTATTACCACGCCAAAAATTAGGCAGGCAACTAGATTTTGGACTTGGTAAATTTTCTAGAATAGCCCTCCAAGGGTAACTTAAACCTTCTCATCTCTCCTTCTGAAAGCTCAACAAGGAATCCGTGTTTATCTAACTTTTGGCACTTGGGTGTCCCAGAGAGGAGGTTAGTCGTCTTAAACCTCCCTACTGTCAGTGTGGTGACAGAAGTCCCTCCAGAGGGCAAAACAACTAATTTAAGTGCTCTGACTTATTTTCTGAAGGAGCTTCTGATATTGGAAACTAATGTTAGATGCCTAACAGGCAATATGATTACATCCCTCGGTGGCAATGTCAAATAAAATTATAAAGATCTCCTCCCTATAAATAATGCATTCAGTATTTCTCTATAAGGGCTATTGTTTAGTTACACAGTAGGACTACAAATGAATAGCAAAAGTATAAATTAGTGCTTTGGTAAAATACATTGCTTTCAAGCCTCAAGAGCAGTCTAACCTTTAAAGAGGCGCTGTGGTGGGACCAGGCATAATGGTACCTGCTGTGGTACCTGTGCCCCCATCGGCAACTCTCACCCCAGCTCACAACTGTCTGTTAGGACTGGTCTCTTGAATGCTACACTCGGTTTCCCCCGGAGTGGAGGCACGTCTGTCACTTTCCACCCCAAAATGCTTTGTAGTCAGGGGAAAAATAAAACCCTGCACTCTATGGTCCCCACAGCCTTCTGTGAAGTTCTCCATCTTTCTCTACTCATTGACTTAACATGCCAAGAAAATCAAATATTCTTTCTCTTCAAAAATCTGTTAATTCATTCATGAAGACATGTATTATTTAAAAAGTCACACATTTGAGTAGATGCAGTTTTCAAGACTATTATTCATTTCTAGTCTGCATACAGTCCTGGTCAATTTATATTCAATGCTGCTTTCTTGCTTAATTAGCTCTTTCTGTTTTGGATGTTTGCCCTTCTATATTAATGTAGCCAGGAAAAATATGCTTTTCTCCTCTTCTGTGTAAATGCTAAAAGCCAAGGTCATCAATAAGTTGACCATTGCTTTTATCTCAATGATACTCTCTGGAATACAGTATTAGTGGGTCAGGAAGAATTTAGTGATAATTAGCAGGAGTTGATTCTATGTTCTGGCCTGTCTATCTTTTAGATTATTTTAGGTTCTACCTAGAGTCAGAGAAATGATTAATTTCTAGCAATGAAAACTCCAAACAATTAATCTTGAAGGATTTCTGATATTAATTGATTTTAAGATTTGTTATTGTTTTAGGGTGTCCAGTGAGACATGACCAGTGGAACTAGATTCCAACAGCTACATACTTAATACAAAAGTTGTTTCACTTTTTGTTTCTCTTTCACACAAATACAGAGATTTATACTTTGAATCTTTTATCTTTTAGCTTCTTGGACGTAAATAAACCCCGCACAGAGAGATGCAGAGTTGGTATGGATACTATATTGCACCTATGTAAACTCTGGTGGGAAAGCTTTGTTCCAAAGCAGGTAACAGGTTGCAAATGGTATTCCCTTCCCCATTCCAGTCATCAGGTTCCTTCAAAATTATGAACAAGCACCCGCTGACTCCTGCTCCTCCAAGCAAGCGCTGCCGCAGGGAGCGATGATTCCCCGTGTGCCTCAGCCTGGTGGCTGCAGTAGAGCAGCAGCAATTTCTCCTGCTCCTTGACATGGAACGACGGGATGGCTGCTATCACACCTCTGTCACCTGAACTCCTGGTAACCAGGGGAGCAGAGATGGCGGAAGTTCCCCTAACATCATACAGAATTGAAGGTATCAAAACCTTCTTGCCAGGGTGGGGAGCATCTCACTGCTGTATGGGAATGTGTTATCTGGCCTCATACAATTGCATTATACTAACCACGTAAGCCTAGCTTTAGGGAAGTACCTACTACTGCACACTGGGTACCTTAACTTAAGGCAGATGAGTCCCAGCCCCAGTGACATGAAGCCATCTGTCAGGTAGGCTTTCTGTGCAGCAAGGCTGGAATGCTTAGGAGACTGCATCTCTTTTAAAACCAGCTTTTATCTCTAGCTTGTTCACTTTTACACATAAACAAAAGCATTTCTTTGAGAGGCTTCCCTCTGAAAAGGAAAGTTCAAAACATAAGAATTTGAAGTCTCATCATGTTTATATACAAACTTGCAGATACAGCTTTTCCTCTAACCAAAGAAGAAAAGTGACGATGAATATGCAGCATTTTGAAATGTTACTTGCAAAGTTATATAAAATAAGTTTTTGAAAGGGGTGGGCGTTATGAATGGCATAGAAATGGAATAGTATGTACATTATTTAAAGAAGACCAGAAACCTCCCATGTCTCTTACAATAGAAGAAATGTTTATACAATAGAAGAAATGTATTGATTTAACCTGCTTTCAGGTAAATAAAATTTGGAAATGTTTCTCAGTAAATATCAGGGGAATCTTTGAACATGTAAAAAGCTTTTGCACAATGATGGGATTATTGCTTTCGTTAATAGTTTTTTCTGCACAGCAGTTAATATTCACATAAATGTTCATTATAGTTTTGATTCAATCACATCACATTGCTTTTACTATTTTATTTATGTGCATTCTTCTAGTTCAAGAGTTTGTCACTGTGTTCATCTCATTAAATATGGGTACTCACTCAGTAAATATGCGTACTTCCACTCAGTAAATATGGGTACTTTCAAAAATGATGCCTCAGTTTAGTAACAGATGCTTCTTAAAATATTTAGAATTTTAAAGTGTAAAGAAGCCGTCAGTAGCATTCTGATTTGTGTATAAATATTTATTTAGCACACGTTCTGGCCAATGTACTGCCCTTGATTTTTGTGCAAAACTTACAGTAACTTCAATGGAAATTCTGAGCTTATGACTAGAGAAAAATATGGTTAATTCAGCAACCCAGCTGCTTTTATATCCCAGAATAGCAGGCAGTGCCTCTAGTGAAGGAGGTGGGGAAATACGGGAGTTTATGTCATTCTTAGCTTTCTGTTGCTCAGCTCACATTTGGGTAACAGCTTAACTTACAGCAGGCTCTGGGCTATTCTGATTCTCTTTAGAGACTTTTAGTTTGGTTCCTGCCAACTGAGGCAGAAGAGGGGTATGAACCTAAGAGAGCAATGGCCAGTAAAGCTCTAGAAATATTTGCTAGAAATCCTGTGAGAGGCTGCCATGTGAGAAAATTTCTATGGGGCAGAAAAATTAATGTGAGATGTTTGATGGAGGAACTGAAATGAATTTCTAAGGCAAATAGTTTCCTTTCTGCTAGTGCTAGCATGAGAAATGTTATGGAAAGTTGAGTCTATTTGCAGAATCATTGTAAAAGTAGGTTCTCAATCACATGTCCTTTCTCATGACATAGAAAAAAAATAGATTGCAGACAAAACTGAAGCATATCTAATATGCAGCATAAAACTTAATTAAGAGAGAACAATACTAAGATGCTGAGAGCCAGCTCAAGTCTCCAAAAGATTTCATCCTTGCATTTCTCCATATTTTCTAGGCTTTTGGTAGACATTCCCATTAGCAGGTCAGGATAAAATGGCAATAAAACAGAGTACCTGCTGAAAACAGCAAACTTCACACTGGTACAATACTGAAAAATAATTTATTAACTTTTAATAATTTCTTTTAGTTAAAAAAAACCTTTCAGGATCCTCTTCAAACCAAAATAAAGTAGAAATTGAGGAAATCATCTGAGGTTCTGTAGCTCAGCAAGCTACTTCTGCAAACATATATGAAGCCTTAAAATTTATACTCCTTAAAAAAATGCACAAATAAAATAAGGCAAATTTGCACATCAGGAAGACAGTGTTTTCTTTAATATCTACAGAAATTGAGTGCAGGGCACTAGCAGCACAAAGGGAGACAGTGTGTGTAGTGGGTTTCTTTAGCTTAGGAATAGAATTTTGCTTTTTTATATAGCCGTGTTGACACAGTTGTGTGTATTCCCCCCCTTCACTGTGCCAGCAAGGCACACTCCAGTGACGCAGCCATGGGCAACCCCGATTTCAGTAGGCTCTTGGTACCCCAGGCCCCCAGCCCGCTCTCAGTGGAGAATAACGGGCCGCAGTGTGTGTCCCAGCTGGGCAGCTTCTGGCATCCTCAGGCAGCAATTCGTGTGCCATGGCAGCACACCTGCAACAACCAGCTCCGTGCCTCTCCCTGTCACATGCAGGGTTTCACAGATCCGTACAAATCGGGATGAGGGACACGGGAGGGATTCCAATGAAAAGGAAACATTTCAGCCGCATATCCCAACCGTGCCAGGTGTAGAGCAACCCCAAGCCACACATCGGCACATCCTCCTTCACTTGCATGGACTTCGAAGATTCACTTTTTTAACAGATGCTAAAAGAGACGCTGTTTAAAAGCTGCTTGACAGAAATAGTCATTATATGAAGAAGTACAATTAATTTGTTCAACCTGGAGAAAATAAGGTATATGAGAGCATAGAGAAGTCACTTCTGTAATTTCAATTTTCCTTATGATAACTGCCTCTCAGACATATCTCATCCATAGCCATCAGACCATAAAACTAGGCTATTAAGTTAAAACTTGCACTTTAAAAATCCACAAAATCTTGTGCTAGGAATATGAACCGTGACCCCTTTAGTTATTTAGGAGATCTAGGCATTTTCAACATTATTACAAGGGACCATTAGAAGGACCAAATCCATAGTCTTTATTGATTTAAGAATCATCCAACTGTACTTATCTAAGTGTTACATGAGTGAGCTACTGCTACAAGATCATGACTTTCAGAGTTTTACATTTATACTAAAACTAAACATTAGATCCAGCATTTCAGTTTGAAGCCTAAACTCTCACTAACTTCACTTAAATTCCTTTTGTGTCTGTCTTCCATTTGCCTTGTCAACTTTTCCTATTGGTGCTGAGTATAACAGAGGAGATCACAGACAAGGAAGAAACCAAACACTCGGTGAGAAGCAGCTATAAAAGTGATTAAACAGTTCTTCTGTGTTTCATGGTGGCTTTTTTTCTTTTTTCATTTTCCCCTAGGAATACATAATTTATTTTTTTTTTGCAAGTTTTGACTTTCTGCAAATATTGCAAGGACAGTACATAAACAAAATCAGAACATTTTAAAGCTATCCATGGCCACATTTCCTAGATAGAAAATGGACGATTTGATCAGTTAGTGCTGCAGTTCCAGTCAACTTAGTATTGCAAACTATTTGTCTTTTTTAAAAAAAACACCACCACCCTTTTACCTTTTTCTGCTTGTTTTAAAGTATTTGACCCTTCTTTTATTCCATGTAGAACTACCTCGAAGCTGAATCCATGCAATTTGAGAAGTTGTCCTGGAGGGAGCTTGATATTAATGTAGGAGGACCCACTGTTTTCCTGTTTACAATATGCTTTGGTTCTGTATAGAGTCTTAAAAAATCCACTATTTCAGTATTACAAGATTGTTACTATTAGATATCAGCTCATTCTAACAAAACCACAGGCAAAGTCTCTGCCGCCAAAGGTACTTCAAAGATTGATGGTTTGAACTTGCCTTGAACAGTTATGGAAAATTACTAACATACTAATGAACAACAAAGTGTTACTGTTAACACTGGTAAACCATTCTAGCTCAACTTCTCAAAGGTACTTGGATAATTTTACTGCTAACTTCAAAAGAGATGGGACTTCAACCTTAGATTTTTTTTTCTTGACTCTTAGAAACTGCTTTACCCCTTTCTACCTAGTTTATGCTATAATCCCCTGAAAATTGTGAATTTATACCAACACAAAACTTTTCATAAAGGGGCAGAGCACGAGATAAACAGTGGCCTTTACTGCCCTTCTGAAATCCCATTGAGCCCAAAGATTTAATTCATTTCCAAATTAATCAGACAGTCACACTTCCCACATATGTCTATTCATGCCTGAAAAGTAGCTTTCTGTATATCCTTCCCCTCATTTTACTCAAACTGGTATTTGCCAAACATATTAAGTTTACTGTTCTCTAAACATTACTCTCAAACATAGCACTTTTTAAAATGACTGTGACTCCTTAAGAAAGAAATATGTTTAAAGAGAATAAGATCTATAATATTTCTATAGCAAAAATACCTGAAACAAAACCTCTTGTTTTAACAATAGATTCTAACAGTGCAAAGTTAGTTATTTGGATGTGTAGTCTTAAACTTTGCAGCATACTGAATGTTTTGTAGTTTTGAAACTCTGGTTTGCATGTAAAGTATACAATAGAAGTACAATATAAATAAAATAGTTTATTACAAGTATTTTAAAAGAACTCTACAATACACTTTCAAAACATTTTATACAGTATTCTCTCTTTCAATATGAAACAATTCACATAGGGAGAAAAAATCTCAATATATAACTACAGTCATTATTACCATACTGAATTTGTCTGTCATACAAAAATCATAATAACTGCAGACTGTTTCCGAGTATCTTTCTCGGTTTTATTCTCTCTGAAAACATTTACGAAAATAAAAAACTCCCTTCATTTATACCAAATACTACAAAGCTTTTAACACAGCAAGACCTAGATAAATCACTTTAAAAAAAAATGAAAAACATTTTACTTAAATAAATATGGATCTATTTAAATAGTGAAAAGAATGCCACATATCTTACAGATATGTTAAGTTAGAAATAGGATTAAAACCTTCAGGTTTCAACTATTCAGAAGATGCATAACAAAGGAAAATATCCTAAAAGGTAGTTTTTTCAGAGGAAAAAAAAAAAAGAAACAAACTTCATTCTTGTTCATAATGAATAAAGATGAATAAAGCTCCACTGCACTTACACTTTTTGCCAGCCCCACAGGCACAATGGGCAAAGCTCTCTACTTACCAGAAAGTATAACTACAGATTCTATTAACACAAAATCAGAATTATTTAATTTGAGCTAATAGTCGTTTTCAGTCTCTTATATTTAATGTAACAAGAAGATGACTTTCCGACAAAACTGCTCATCTGAGTTATTATCACATCTTAGAGAATACTTCTTTTACTGGTGTAATATGTATCCTAGGAGGAAAGGAGACTGGAACAGATAGTAAGCCCATCTGTAATACTAATGATAATTTCTTGTCCTCTTTTCTTGCAAGAAAAATAGTTCAGTATGGTATGAATTGGACAAAAAGGCTAGAAAATGCAAGGGATATACAAAGAAGTGGAGATAATTAGGTGGTGAAATGGATTAATTGATCATAAACCCTGCTATTTTAGCATTGTCTACTTATAGTTTATCATAAAAAGGGAAAAGGTCTAATTCCTTAGATTTCCAAGCGCATTACAATGCATTTAAATTTTTCTATTAATTGTTCTATAATGCCACATCAACATTTTTTCCCTCATTAAACTTCCTTTTCCTCTTCTTTGTTGCATCTTTTATCTAAAAAAAAATTTTTTTTAACAAAAGTATGAAAAAAATACAGCAAGTGTCCTTTTCTTGAAACATATATGAAGCCAAAAAAAAAGTACAAGGACTCTTTTTTCTGTATTCTGAAATTTACCTTTTTATCTTTACTTTTTTGATCGTTACCAACGGACAGCATAACATCATAAAATACTATATGGGAATAGGCGTAACTTAAACCAGCTGATTCATGGAGCACTGCAGATCGCTGCAACACTATTAATATAGTAAGAATGTTTCATAGGACATTACCCAATTTTGATAAAACCAGTATATTCTCTGGTTGTTGCTCAGTGGAACTCAGCTTTAAGCTCTCTTTAAAGTGTATAAGGTGGTGTCTTTTCAAATGTGGGGCCTGTCTGAAATTTTTACCACAAACTAAACATTCAAATGGCTTTTGTCCAGCATGCATTAGGTAATGTCTTTCAAGCTTAGAAGGCGATTTAAAAGTTTTAAAGCAGATACTGCACTGATACAGTTTGTTAACAACTTCACTTTTTTCCGTACCTTCAGAAAAGTCATGCCAGTAGCTGTAACAGCTTTGCTCTGTTTCCAACAATTTACTACACAAATACGGCTGTGTGTTTCTGCTGCTGGTGTCGAGAACAAAGTCCCCTGACTCAATTTCAACTTTGATTCCAGCTGCTTGGTTTGACTGAATCAGCTCGAGTTCTTGAAAGCCAGATGCCTGTGAAGGTGTTTGAGAATAACCCACAGGCTCTGAAGACTTAAATTCAATGTGATCTCCCTGATGATTGAAAAGTTTGTTCAGGTTTTCAAATTCTACCTGGCAAACGGGGCTTTTATAGGGTCTCTTTTCAGTATGGGTGAGCTGATGTCTTTTTAAGTGAGCTGACTGTCTAAATGTCTTCCCGCAAACATTACAGCCAAAGGGCTTCTGTCCCGTGTGTATAAGATAATGCCTTTGAAGTTTGGATGAAGACGGAAAGATTTTTTCACATCTGTCACATTTACACACTTTGTGTCTGTTATGTATATTTTTAGCAGAAGCTGAAAAAGCACAGTGAAGTACTTCTGGATTATCAAAGAAGCCATCATCTGATGAACCATAAAAAGCGTCATCTTTATTATGCAGTGAATCACCGCTGTTTAACATGCTTTCCCCAGTAAGCACACCTTTTACATTCATTCCAAAGTCATGAGGTTGTGGGTGCTCTTGCCTAGGTAATGGCACAGCAAACATTCTTTTCATCGGCTTACTAAGTGCCTTGTGCGTGTCAAGCTTGCTATGGCAATCCTTGAAAGGTTTAGTGGAAGCATGCTGATCACCACGCTGATCTCTAGCTCCAACCAGGTCAGGACTTTTAAAGTGACCTGATTTTTTTTTTTTTCTGTCCATCAGAGACAAATCTGTTGCCTTTCCTCCAGTACGCTTCAGCTTCGTCAGGATCTTATTTTTCATGCTGACTCTGTGGCTGCCTGCTGTCGTACCATTACTTGAACTTTTGCCACCTCTCAGACAACAGCATTTGTGCAAATTTAGAACTTGCTCCGTTTCAAAACACTGCTCGCATGCTGGGCACTGAAAGGGTACAATGTATATCGAGTGAACATCATGTGGGTCATTCTCACATGACTTGTAAGTGTCAGCGTTCTCAAAACTATCCTTCTTTCCTTCCAACAGGTTCTGTGGTCTGGGATATTTAAGAGTCTTTGCTTTGTATAAAATACTGGGGGAAGTCTTATTTCTGGCATGGAGCTGTTTGTGCTTCATGAGTTTGCTCTGTATTTTAAACCCCTTCTGACAAAAGCAGCACCGAAAAGGCCTTTCTTCTGTGTGTGTGAGCTGATGGATTTTCAAGTGTGTCGACTGCCTGAAAGATTTACCGCACGAAGAACACTTAAAAGGTTTCTGGCCAGTGTGAATAAGGACGTGTCTTTCTAGCTTAGATCTTGATGGAAATGTCTTGTTACACGATTCACAAGCATGAGTTTTCTTTCTCCTTCTGGCACCATGTAGATGATCTGCCTTCAGGCACTGATGCAGCATCCACCTCTCTTCAGTTGTAAAAGATTTACAGCACACAGAACATCGAAATACGGCATAAGTGACCCTGTCTTGCTCAAAATTCATAGAGTTTTCTGCTTGCTTGGTATCATTCTGATAATTTTCATTATGAAGCTGCTGATGCTTTAAGAAAGTGATTAAGTTTTTGAAGTTTCTATGACAAACAATACACTTAAAAGGCAGGTTATGGGTTAACTGGTGCCTCTCCAGGTGGACTAGCTGCCTAAATGTTTTATGGCACACATGACATTCAAATGGCTTTTGACCAGTATGTATCAGATAATGCCTAGCTAATTTTGATGGTGTTTCAAACTGTTTATAGCAAATGTCACAAATATATGGCTTTTTCTTGGGTATCCTATCAGCTGCTACACACTGCTGAACTCTTAACATTTTTAAAAAGCAATTACACCTCGCCTACTGTTAATTTCTTGAGATAGATATTTCAAGTGAAACCATCAATTGCTCACTAAGATGGAAGGCTGTAGAAGCAGCAAGTTTTCTTAGGAGAGATATTCTTAAATCCCACAGGTCCCTAAAATAAGAAAGAGAGTATTATTTTAGCCTATATTAATACATAATTGTCTAAGTTTGTCTCGTTTTCTACATGAGACCAAAAGCACCTAGGTTAGAATACTCCTGATTTAATTTATCTTAAAGTGCTTTCTTCATAACAAGAGTAATCACTCATCACGTTATATAATACAGAAAAACTAATTTTCAGAAGAAACAAACAAGTTTAAGTCATCTGATAACACAGATACTGTTTAGTCACGCAAATTAGTTCCAAATAATATACAGTTCGGCTACATTATGATATTTAGGTTATATACAAATAAAGCATATTCTTAAAATCACAAAAACATACTGTAATAAATTTCTCTCCTACAGCAATAATTCTAACTCCCCAATATAATACTTATGAGGATGAGAGAAAGAGAACTGGGGATTCTTGGGCTTCAAAAAAAAAGTAACATTAAATTGTCTCTAGACTAATTTCAGTTGGTCACATCCTTCCAAAATTGCTGCATCTAACACAGATTAAATATTTCAGTCCACAACAGTAGTAAGAACAACAGAATAAAAATACTTCTAATGGTATTACCTATATCCCCTTATAAAAAAGAAAAGGGATGGAGGGAGCAAACTTTAACACAACAGCATAATAGTTAGGACTTGTAATAACTTTGAGATACACAATACATTTCTACTAACTATAGTTTGTGGTATTTTGATACTGCAACTCACAAGTTGTAAAGTATTTCTACATGCGAGCAAATAAAAAGTAATTTATTCAGTGTCTCCAAAAGCCCTGTCTCTTCAGAAAGAGTTAATGGCCCCAGTTTTCAAAAATTCAGTCCATTCAAATACATTGCAAAGAATAAAAGCCTACTGCAATATAAGGCAAGCTACGATGAGATTTGAGATATATGCATAAAAGACTGAAAATATCTGATGAATCAATATTTTTGTTAAGCTTAATGGAAAGAAACCTGGTCATCTGGTAGGAGTGTTCCACCTCTATGAGATATGTTCCTATATAATTGTGGGCTTTATTAAATAACATTTGGAGGTATGCCTTAGATGCAGCTGTCACAACACTATGGAGTTACCTAATCTCACTGAAATAATTCAGGATAGGACTTATCAATGCTATAAGGCAGTTATAAAGTCAATTTTCCCCTTGCTATTCTCTTTTCCTTTAGAAACAGCTACTGAGTTTCAATCTTCTTTTGAAGATGCAAGAAAACACCACCGTTAGGAGACCCCCTTTTCCTCCAAGTTTTTGTCACATCATGTGAAGGCAGGGAGTTTAGACAGAGTAAGCACATGACACCTCATGCTTTCTAGTTTGTGCTACCATGAAGTTAGAGACAGGTAGGCCGAGAAAAGGAGAAAAGCTTCTCTGCTATGCTGGAAGTTTCTGTACGGCTCAAGGCAGCCTCCATTAGCAAGGAAGGAAAATCTCCCGAGAAAGAACTGTAAAGATTGATGAATTTTAGTTAACATACTGTCATACAGATCTAATTTACACATCAGGAAAGTGCTCAAACAGTATAGTGACATGCAAAGAAAAAAAATTCTGAAGTAAGAGACAGCCGTGGCATATTACACAAGGGATTTTGTATTTAGACTCTTTACAAAATTTATAAGCTATCTGGTGAATGGGGGAAATGCTCTGTAGTATAAGGTGTCAGCAGAATAGAGCTTCTTGCTGTGGTCTTTGTGCCCTGTGAAAGACTAAAGGCTCAGATGAGGTAAACCTAGGGGATGCAGAAGGAGAAGGGAGCTAAGACAGGCATTATTGTGTGGCCCAAATATATTTTCAAATCCTATTTACTAAGGACAGACTTCTCCACATCTATTTCAGGGTGCTCTGCGCCTTGCACATCTAAGGAATAAACATGCTACTGCTAAAGATCAAAAAGCAAAAGACAAGCTTGGAATTTTGTCTCCTGCCAGCCTTGGAAGTACAGTCTTGTCCTAATTAGAGTCAAAAAAGGTATTTCCTAATGTGATAAGGATTTAGTTTGTGGCATAGGTCCAATTTAATATTAAATTGACACTACTTTTCATCTTGGCTACAAGGTCATGCAGAAAAATAGAGTCAAGAAGTAACATAGGCCATAGAAGACCTGGAGTCTAAACGGGAACAGAAGCTGAATATGCAAACAGCAAGAATGCCATCCATAGTGCAACGCGTAAACAGAAGTAAAGCTTTGAGAGCACATACATCTTCCACTCTACTCACTACTGTTTAGAATTCAGCTGCCGTACTCTATGCAGTTCTGAATGCTGCCCTTCAGATTGAGTCGAGTATATGAACTAACTGGAATGAGTCCAGAGAAGAGGATCAAGAATGATCAGAGCTTAAATGCATAATATACAGGAAAACGTTAAAGTAACTCATTAAAGAGCACAAAAAAAAAACCCCAAACAAAACCAAACATAAGAGACAACTATAAAGAAAACATAAATAAGCTGTTTCTTAAGCCATTTATAGTTGCAACTAGAAATGGATTCAAATTATAGCAGAAAGCAAGCACATTATTGTCCTTACAGTTGCAAAGTTTTTCTTAATAAGCATACAAGTAAGTTGTGTGGGGAAAGTGCTCTGCCTCCAACACTGGAGGTCTCCAAAAAAGGTTGTACAAACACATCTCAAATTCCCACACCCGTATAGTTCACTCAATACAAGATGAATATTCTGGTTTGTTTTCCAGTGACTCATTAATATGATTCAAAACAAACCACTTGAAAATTCAAGATGGTTTCAAATTTGCCACTGAAGGAGTCTTGCGCATTGTTACTAGTATATCCCCCTACCCTACGGCTAATGCTTATAGCTCTCCAGACACAATTACAAGAAAATTATAATAAGAATAAATGCGTGAAGAAACATAAGATGCCTCTTGTAACATTAGCTACAAAACAGACGAGTGAAAATCTAGCCGCTGACTTATGAAACACATCCCATGCAACAGAGACCACAGAATCATAGATAGGGACCCGAGGGCCGCGACACACACGCTGCATGCTGGATCTCTGCACCAGCTTTCCCTGGGGAAAAGAGCAGGCTCCTCCTTGGGGGAACAAACTGCACCAGAAACATAACCTTCGCCTGTAGCTATATAGAAATCAACACCACGCGTTACAGCTCCTCAAAGCTAACATTCTCCAACATTCTCCATGTATTTTTCCAAAACACTTTCTGAAACAAAACAAAGACACAGAACAGAGAAGCAGGGCTGGTTTAAGAACAAACCTAAGTTTTGCTGAAAGGGCTCCAGCCCCCTGGGACTGACACCACCTCACACACACCCACACCCGCCCCCATCAAGACACACTTACACCCAGTTAAAAACCTAAAAGCAATTAGCGAGGCGGCTCTTACAGAAAGCAGACCGCCAACAGGCGCACAGCCGCGGCCGGCTTTCCCGCAGCGCAAGGCGGGATCCCTGCTGGGGCGGCCCCGGCCCGGCCCGGCCCGGCCCCAGGCGCCGTACTGCCGACCGGCAGCGCCCTGACGGGGCCGTGCCCGGCCCAGCGCCCCGGCGGAGCCTGCAGCGGTGCTGGCCGAGGGAAAAGGCGACAAGCGGGAACCAGAGGGCAAAGAGGGAGCGACCTGAAAAAAAACCGACTACCACACCTCCACCTTCCTCATCCTGCCCGGGGGTGCTGCCGCCTAAACTCTTCCCCCCACGGATGGCACCGAGACTCCGGGACGCCGGGAAACCCGGGCCGGAGCTTTCCGTTCCCCCGCGCAATCCGGCCCCGCCTCGCGCCGCTCTGAGGCGCCGCGGCCGGGCCGGGCTGAGGGGAGGGCGGACCCCGCTTTATTTCTCGCCGGGCAGAAAATGCCCCCGGCTCTGCTGGTGAATCTTTTATCAGTCGCTGGTGACACGTTATTCCCCACAAATAAGACACATTTTCAGCTTCAGCAAATATCCCATCCCAGGAGGTTGTGGGGTTTGCAGCCGAAGGGCGCTGGCGGGACTACCCTGTGGTGCGATAAACGCACGGCAAGGCCAAAGCCTCCCCCGAAAATCCTGTGGGAAGTTGCGCCTGGAATGGAAGAGGAAAAGAGGGGATTCCCAAGTGTGCACAAAAGTAACAGTTTTGCAGAATTTTGCCTCTTCTGCGGGAGAGAGGGGTCCAAAAAGTGCCAGAGTTTAGGGGCCGGGGTCCCTGCAGTAGCCGGAGCCCCCTCAGTGAGCATAGCCTGGCTGAGGTGAGCTCAGAGCAACGGCCAGGGAACAGACAGAAACTGACAGAAACTGACAGAAACTGTTCACAGTTGAGTCCTGCATCCAGTTCTGGGGTCCTGGGCCTAAGGAAGACATGGACCTGTTGGAGCAAGTCCAGGGGAGGTCTTGAAAATGGTCAGAGGGCTAGAACAGCTCTCATCTGAAGACAGGCTGAGAGGGTTGGGGTTGTTCAGCCTGGAAAAGATAAGGCCCCAGGGAGACCTTCTGGTGGCCTTTCAGTACTGAAAGGGGGCTTATAAGAAAGAGAGAGACTTTTTACCAAGGCCTATAGTGACAGGACAAGAGGCATCAGTTTTAAACTGTAAAAAGGCAAATAATGAAGACATATTTTACAACAAGAGTGGTGAGACACTGGAACAGGTTGCCCAGCAAAACCGTGGATGCCCCATCATTGGAAATGTTGAAGGCCACGTTGGACAGGGCTTTGAGCAACCTGACCTAGTGGAAGATTTCCCTGCCCACAGCTGGGGATTGGACTAGATGATCTTTAAAGGTCCCTGCCAACTAAAACCACTCTATAATTCTGTGAATTTACCTCATAAAAGAACAGGCAGATGGCAGAACAAAGTCGTATTGGGTTTGCATGCCAAGGTTTTGATAGCAGGGGGCCTACAGGAGTGGTTTCTGTGAGAAGCTGCTGGAAGCTTCCCCCATGTCCAGTAGAGCTCCAAGCTGTTGCTGGCCAAGGCTGAACCCATCAGCAATAGTGGTAGCACATTTGGTATATTATGTTTAAGAAGAGGAAAAAAAAACAACTGTGTTGGAAGAGCAGACAGAAAGAGGAGTGAGAATATGTGGAAGAAACCACCCTGCAGACACCAAAGTCAGTGAAGAAGGTGGGGAGAAGGTGCTGCAGGCACTGGAGCAGAGATTCCCCAGTAGAGCTCCAAGCTGTTGCTGGCCAAGGCTGAACCCATCAGCAATAGTGGTAGCACATTTGGTATATTATGTTTAAGAAGAGGAAAAAAAAACAACTGTGTTGGAAGAGCAGACAGAAAGAGGAGTGAGAATATGTGGAAGAAACCACCCTGCAGACACCAAAGTCAGTGAAGAAGGTGGGGAGAAGGTGCTGCAGGCACTGGAGCAGAGATTCCCCTGCAGCCCATGGTGAAACAGGTTGTCCTTCTGCAGCCCATGGAGGTTAACAGTGGAGCAGATATCCACCTACTGCCTCTGGCAGGCCCCACGCTGAAGCAAGTGGATGTGCCCAAAGGAGGCTGTGTCTCTGTGGGAAGCCTGAAGAGCAGGCTCCTGACAGGACCTCTAGCCCTGTGGAGAGAGAAGTCTACACAGGAGCATGTTTGCTGACAAGACTTGTGACCCTGTAGGGGACCCACACTGGCACAGTCTGTTCCTGAAGGACTGCACCCCTTGGTGCCTCTGGCAGGCCCCACGCTGAAGCAAGTGGATGTGCCCAAAGGAGGCTGTGTCTCTGTGGGAAGCCTGAAGAGCAGGCTCCTGACAGGACCTCTAGCCCTGTGGAGAGAGAAGTCTACACAGGAGCATGTTTGCTGACAAGACTTGTGACCCTGTAGGGGACCCACACTGGCACAGTCTGTTCCTGAAGGACTGCACCCCTTGGAAAGGACCCACGCTGGGACAGTTCGTGAAGAACTGCAGCCCGTGGGAAGGACTCATGTTGGAGAAGTTCATGGAGGACTGTCTCCCATGAGAGGAACACCACTCTGGAGCAGGGGAAGAGTGTGAGGAGTCCTCCTCCTGGGGAGGAAGGAGCAGCAGAGACCACATGGGATGAACTGACTGCAACCCTCATTCCCTGCACTACCTGCGGTAAGGAGGTGGAGAAAATCAGGAGTGAAGTTGAGCCCGGTAAGAAGGGAGGGCTGTGGGGAAGGTGTTTTAAGATTTGGTTATTTCTCATTACCCTACTCTGATTTGATTGGCAATAACCAACTGGATTTTGTATACACTAATGAAACAGAAGTTGGCAGCATTTGCCTGCCAAAGCATAAGATAATTTTGCAGGCCCCAGTATCTGCAGAACTGTCTTTGAGATGTATTTTTTGCTATTTAGAAACAACAGTCTATAGAACAACTCTTAGTTTAACAGTGTTAGAAATCAAATCAGTCTCATCACCAGTGATTCTAAATAATACCTGACCTGTGCAACAAATAAGCCAAATTTTAACACCGCAGAACAAAATTTATGTGCAGTTAAATGTAAATGCTGAATGAAACAGGTTAAATAGTGTTGATCATTACAATCATTTATTAACCTTATTGAAAGACAGCTGAGTCTTGCAGTTGAAGGCTTGGAAACAGGGTATGACCACAGGCAAGTCACTTAGCCTTCTAGGTGTCAATTCCCCAGCTATAAAAATTGTGTAATATTTGCCACATGCATCTCATAAAGCTTTTCAGAAAATGATGAATCATTTAATAATTGCAGATCACCTGGTTATATATATATATTTCTTTTTAAAGTGTTTCTTTCATTTTACAGTATATTCAGTCATAGCAGTCTGTTTTACATGAAGCCTCTGGTCTGGTCTGAAGCACAAGTGCAAGCAGCCAAGTTTAGCTTGTGTCCAGTAACAAATTTGGGTAGCAGATCCACAGCTGGTGTAGGTTGTTGTAGCTCTCTTGATTTTAATGAAGCTGTAGTAGTGCATACCAGCTGAGGATCTGCTTGTATAGTTCTGGTAGTTAGCAGAGAACATAATCCAAAAATACTAAAGTCAATCTTATAGCCCAGTTATAATAAAAGATGAAGTCATTCAGTATGTTTTCATAGAAAACCCTGCGAACACAGGGAATTGATTATTTGCTTTTATGATGCTAAGGAATAAAATATGCATGGTTTGTAGGGAAAAATGTTGCAACATTGTAGCAACAATGGAAGACCTCCTAGGAGTGGAAAATGGCTTTCTTTTAAATCTAAACTGGTTTCAGTCATACCCTTATACCTTCTTCCCACACCTTGGTTTTGGTTAGGTCTATTTGTAACCTGATCGTGATTATTTTTACCATCCTGTTCCACTTTGGTAAATCATTGGGATTTACTCACTGCCTATTGCCATCATTTGGGTGTCCTGCTAAGGTGTAGGTAGGTGCTAGGATCTTGATGACCTGCTAATCTAGGTGCTATGAATACAGGCCGTTCTTGTAACTGTTCTCCAGCTGTTTTTTCCTTCTGATGCTTCCACACCCAGATATTGCTATTCATCCTCTGTGCATACTAATCCTAACCTTGCTGTAGCAATTCTCTACATACTGAGAATGTGCAGAATGTATGTGTTATGGTATACCTATTACCCCTGTTTTATTTATCTAGATTAGGTTATATTAAGTAGATATAAAACGGGCATACTGAAACAATCTGCATGTTTGTTATCTGACTTGGGGCACTTCAGAGGTTAAACAGATCTGGCTGTAATGATAGCGAAAGTGGCATATGTAAGATTATTTTTTTTTAATTCTTTTTTTTTGTTTGTTTTTTCAAAGAAAAGAAAGCAGAAAAAATAAAAAATGAAAATATTCCTAAACTTTCCTCAAAGAAAAATTGGACAATCCAATAGTTTCACTGGGTAGAAATGAATTTCAAGACCCTAAAAGGCTGAATTGTCCCTTCATTTGTGAAAGAAAACTTTATTTCCCACTTGCTGAAACAACATAATCTAAGTCTTTTACCCTGCTATTCTAAATGCATATTACTCCACTTCTTATAGAAGGCACACAGTTTGGAGTAGGTATTAGCATATCAGTGTTAATGTTAAAAAAAAAATGAGTGATTGCTCCTTTTGTGGGTGTATGCTACAGTATACTGATATGGGAAACCAGACCTTGTTAAAATAAATTTCAATTCTCTTTAATTTTTAGGAATTATAAGATTATGCCTTAAAATACTGTAAAGATGCCTCTGCAAACTGACAGTTAGCAATTCAATTACATGAGTTGCAGAGGCAGTCTGTGAGTTAACTGCAACATGACATTAATATTGTGTCTGCTTTTGTAAGGTGTTCTGTGCTTTAAACACGTGCTGTACATGCCATGTGTTACAGCGATTTCCCTGGTGTTATTTTTATTGAATTCTAGGCTAAATAGGCACATAACACAGTATATAACTTGCTAATGTGTCAATTAATGCCACCTCGGGGCTGAAGTAAATTGCAAAGACTTTTAAAACTGTGAATATACATTTCATGCTTGTCTTTGGTTTCTCCCTTTTTCTCTTGTTCTATTTTCTGCCCTTTTTTCCCTAAATAGTCCATCTTAAAGCCCTCTGGTTCATAACAATGAATTGCCTTCAGGGGAGATAGTTATTTAATGAATCTCAGAAACATGTATTCTGCACATGCCAGCACCATTTTTTGTTTGATGAAGCACTATGTGTGGCAAGACCTCCATAAATTCTCTCTATATACTCAAAACGAAAACAACTTTTAATGACATTTTCAAGAAAA